GCTTTGTTAAAGGGAATTGCAAAGTGTTTGGGTATCATCAGGGCTGGGGTGTTCAAATCAACCCAGCACCCATGTGGACAGGAGGCAGCCAAAGCAAAGTGGTCAGCAGCCGACAGATTATCTGGGACAAAGCCTCAGGCTGAAGTGGTCCTGAGAAGTGAGTTTTACCTATCATCACTTTTCTTCTTTTTTTTTTTTCCCACCTTTTCCCTTTGCTGGGTGAGGATTTTATCCTTTGCAATGGCACCACTTTGTGGGATGATGCCCAAATCCTTGGGACAGTTCCTGCTGCAGAGTTCCCTGTCTCTTATATCAGCCCTTTCCTGGCTGTGAAAAGGAGGTACCAGAGCACTCTGCACAGGAGTCATGAGCACAGCTTGTTCTGCACTGCATGGGTGTGGGAGCTGGGGTGAGGCTGCTGCTGCCCATTCGGGATGCATTACCAACAGGATTTCAAAAACACTGCTGCTGGTGCAGAATCACCCAGGCTGGTCCATCTCCAAAGCCCTGGGGGCCTTGCAGGGTGTTAAGGTGGCACATCCCAAACCAGGTACTGCCCAAAGCTGATCCATCCCACAGCCTGCCAGGGTCTAAGTGGGAGAGACATCCCTGTAGGAAGGAGTCACTCCAGCTCCTGGGTACCCATAGAGGGCAGCAGGCACCCCTATGAAAGCATTAGAAAGATGCCAGGATCAGAGCCAAAATGAACACCTCGGGCAACACCTTTTTTGCCTGTACTGCCACAAAATGAAGTATTGGGAGATGTCCCAGAGACAGCTACAGTTGTGCCCAGCAAGCTCCCAGAGCCCTCCTCACCTGATAGTCAAGGTCAAAGGTGTCTCAGGAGCTCCAGTCACACGGAAGCAGAATTTTTCCTTGAACTCCCCCAGGACAGTGGGAAGGAAGGTGATCCGAATAGCCTGGAGCTTTTCTGGTGCCACGATGCCCTTCTGGGGCAGGAAGGTGAAGCAGGAGCCCATGGCTGTGGTTGGAGGGATGAGGCTGAAGGGAGCCTCAATAGGTCCCTTGTTTATCAGGACTGCCTACAGCAGCAGGAAAGCAAAATGGAAACACATGAGGAATCTTCCTTTCTTTCAGAAGTCCGAGTTTCTTTCAAATTAAACAATTAACACCTGTAAAAGGGAGAAGATGCCCTGTGCTGCTGCATGGCAGGAGCCAAAAAACCCAACTTTGAAAGACAATTTTGTATGCCTTTGGGTTTTTCATGCAAAGCAGTGATAACTTCACATAGAACAGTCACTCTGGGGTCTTCCCACTGGCACAGACAGTCCACTTTGACCTGCAGCACAGAGGAGCTGCTCATCATCCCCAAGTTCATTCACACCCAGCCTTAAGAACARCACTGGGCATTGCAGCATTACCAGTGAAATCACCACAGAGCCGCTGCTGCTGCTCCAGGTGTACCCAACCATGGCAGGACATGTTCAGCTTCCATTGCAGTCAACCCATTTACTGCATGTAGAAGACACCGGAAGGAAAGATGTAGAAAATTCCTTTGCTTCCTTCTCAGAAACCCTTTGCTCTTTCTAGAGGCAGAGATGTACCAAGGCTGAAGTGTGGTGAGGGACTGGTCAGCAATAGCAAGCACTGCAAGCTCTTTGAGAGGGCCAGGGCTGAGCCAGGAGGATGAATGGCTTTCCTCTGACTCCCAGGAATAGGCAGGATTATTTCAGTTTTTTAGTTCAGTTTTGACTGAAAATGGTTTGCAATGGACTCAAGCTCATATGCAGCCAGTTTGTTCCAGCTGCTTTTGGACAGCCTGAGCACAAAGGTGATTTGTGTCTGGGGATGGAACAAAAGCCTCTGAACATGAAGCTTTTTGACCCAGTGTTGCTCTCATGTGCCAACGGGTTGTTTTCCAGGAAGCCTTACAACTGATCTCCAAGGGAGGCTGCTGAAAAGAAGGGATTGGGGTTTCATGAATAACAGACATTTCCAACCCCATCAAAGAGATCCAGATTCCAAGAAACCCCTCAAATTTGACTTGCATCACAATTGCACAAGTTGCCAGGAATTCCACAGGTCCACAAGGCTCACTGCTGCTCCCGGGAGCCACAAAGATCCATGCCAAACCTGCTGCTCACCTCATATCTGTTGACTGCTTTGATAAAAACCTCCCCGATGTTCAGTTCCTCAAAGTTGAAGCGGAGTTGGGGTCCAAGGCCTTCCCCTGTGAGGAACAGGGGCAGCCTGGTCTCACGTCCTGGGGAGAGATTTCTATTTCAGTACGGTAATTCCTTCTGCTATCCTGCATTTTCCAGGCTGCCTTAGTGCTAGTCCCTGACTCTGAGCTGCATGAGACCAGCTCCCAATGTTCCAGGAGAAGATACAGAGCCTTCTCTTCCCTCAGGAGATACGATACGTCCACAGAGACCATCCTTTCTTCTGCCTCTATGTTGATACTGGAACTTTAGGAAATGCCAGAAATTTGGTTCTACCTCCTTCTGGGTGCACCTCAAAGAGTGTTTTTACCAAAGGAGGAGGAACAGACTAAATACATGCAGCATTCAGAACGGCTGAGAGGGGAAAAAGCTAAATAGAGGAGATCCTCTGGAAGCTGTAGGGACAGTGGGGATGTGCTGGCACTGCCCTGCTGACCACAGACCCTTCCCAACAATTACACAGGAGCCCAGTGACCTGGGAGAGCATTTGCACCTCACTTTCACTGGGGTGAGAGGCAGGAAGCAGCTGTACCTGAGATGTCACAGTAAACSGTCTGTTGATAGACTCGGGCTTCTCGAGGCTTAAAGAACACATTGATTTCAGCCGAACAATTCGGCCTGACCTCTCCCTCCTAAAGCAGAAGGAGACAGCAAAACATTTATCTTCAAAGATCACATTTCTTGTTTTCAACCACAGCCCTGTAAGCCTTTATTTAGTGCATCAGTGACAAGCAAGGAGTGAGCAACACTTATCAACAACACTGATAACAGAGTTTGGAAGCTTTAGTCAGGCTCCCATCCCTGCCAGGGCCCCGCAGAAATTATTTTTTCAACCAGCTCTTCGGCCTCACCAGAATCCCAATCATTTCTCTCTCGGCACACAGAGCCAGCTGAGCAGGGATCTGTCAAGTGACCTCATTCAGGGAGGAACAGGAGGAGAAACAGAAAGGGAGGTGCTCAGCTATCACTTACCTTCGGCTCAAGCAAGAAAATGTCACTGTTGAACAGCATGGGGTCCTCTCTCACCTTTGCCCTCTCTCTCCGCAGGGTGCGGGAGAGCAGAGCAAAGCGTTCTCTGCAAGTGGTGTCCACTCTGCTCCCCTTCAGAAAACCATACAACTTGTCCTTTTCCTGCCGACTCAGCTTGTGGTAGTACCTGCAGCCACAGGAGAGACAAACCCAGCAGGTTGTTCAATAAGCCACACATTTGCAGAGAGAAGTGGAAGTGCAGCAAAGCACTTGTGGAGGAGCAGCAGCAGCTCCTCAGCAAGGGGCTGAGCCCGAGCCACAGGGTCCCAAACAGATCAGAGGATCACTTGTTTTTCACTGGTAGTTTTACTCCATACATACAAACTTAGGAGAGGTTTTGAAAGCCAGCAGCCCTCAAGAGAACCTCCTGGCTCAAAGCCACTGCCACAAYTGAGGGAGAATCCATCATSCACCTCAACTGGCTGCTCCTGACACAGAACTGCTTGGGGGAGGCAGACAGATGGGACGGTTTACTTACYCTAAGCTATTCAAAAGTACCAATATCTCCTGAAGACACATTTTAGTTTTACCCTTGGGCAACGTATCTCACTGAAATGGATCTTTCAAACCYACCTCAGCTTCAGCTGTTCTTCCTCTTTCTCACTATCAAAAGCCTTCCACTGGAAGTGRGCTGTGAAATCACTCTGGTTGTGGATGAGCACGGTTGTGCAGCTTGTCAGTGTGATGTGCGTCTTCTTAACTGTCAGAGAGTTCGTGTCCAGACTGATGTGGGCATCCACAGCTATTCCAAGAAGGTTTGTGTGGACGTCTTCACCTGGAACAAAGCRAAGGAAGTCTCTGCTCAGCTCACTGGCTGATAGAAACACAAGGGACAGAGCAAACCACAGGTAACAGAAGAAAGTGACAGCTTTTAGCTCAATGAGCAGTTCCATGGATCAGAACATTTACCACAGTCTGAGAGCTGCACATGCACAGCATGAGCATGTTCTGGACAGCTGCCAGCATTTCACCCTCTAGAACAGAGCCCTGCCAAAGGCTCCCCTGTTTCCAGAGCTTTCAAACCTTCAGTATTCCCAATCATGTACTCCTAGGAATCATCTGGGCTCAAATCTCAGTATCAAACCCACCCCTCAGGTTGCAGGTGAGTGTTGTCCAGGCAAGATGCAAACAACAAATATCAGACATCTCTAGAAATGGCATTTATATGGAGCTCTATGATGATCAAGATGACAAACCACTACAAAATGAAGACCATGAAAACTATCATCATCTCCCTCTTTAAACCCATGGCCACATCAATCTTTCTGCTTAGAAAGGGCTCTGCTTCAAAGGATGCAGAGTGCCCTGTGCAGTGGCCAGCACTCACCTGTGTCGTAGTGCACTACCAAGGATGTGGAATATTCACCGATCTGCAGTGGCAGAAATTCCACTGTCACCTGCATGAAGTCGCCGACCTCCAGAGTTCCCATGGCCGGAACGACAGAGAAAGGGCTGCAAAACAGAGATATCAGGACTTTTAGGGGAGATTTGGGGATGTTTGCCCTTTGCAGTCCATTTCACTCCAGCTCACTTGTGCAAGCAAGGAGAAAACCAACCACAGTCAGCAGAAGACAAATCAAACACACAGGATCAGGAACAGCTACTGACCCTTGTGTGAGGAGATCCAGCCCTCACAAGATCCTGTGGGATAAAATTACCTCATATCCCCCATACTCTGTATCCATCTATCTGCAATGAGGCTCAAGGGTCATTTACATCCTGCCTACTTTCATCAGCCCCATACTGACAGAGCTGAGCAAAAGTTATGGCCATGAGGATACCAAGAACCAAATACTCTTCATATCCTTTAGAAACATAGCTGACAAGTGAACAAAGCTGGCAATTCTGTGACCAAGGCTCTCACAGCACCATTTCAGCTCTTCTCCTGCATTTGTATTTGTAGTAAATGCCATGTGCAAGGAGGCTGCAGACTACTTAAAATCTTGTGGTGTAGTTATCTTCTATTGCCAAATGTTCTTTTGCCCACTGGTGCCTTAATGGCCATTATTAAACACTTTGATTTTGGGAGACAGGAAGACAGAAAAATTACTGCTAATTGAATTGCCTCATCTGTCCACTAACATCTATTGCAGGAAGAAAACCAAATATCATCTAATCTTAACACATACTACTTTTTAGTGATGTTGTAACAGCTGAAGTCAGTGTTAACTATTCCAACAAACCCAGTCTGTTAGGTTAAAGTGGCCATTACTCCATCTCTGTGCTGAAAGATTCTGTACAGAATCAGCAGCTCACAAGTTCCATCTTTCCCTCTGTCACTGCACCCAGACTATTTCATCTATTTTTCAATATTTAATTCCTGAAGTTCARAAACTCTTTAAATCCCTATCAAGAAGGATTTGACATACTTTGTAGCACTCAACAGAACAGCTGGCAAGTACATTGCAAAAAGAGGCCAGAATTTATTGGGTATTTATTTTGATAGGGACAAAACAAGGTCTGGAATTCCCAGAGAAAAGCTGGGCAGGGATTTACAAGTTCCTGCCTAAATATTTGCACAGTGAAAGGCAGCAGCCTGTTTGAACAGCATCTGAGGAGCCTGCTTAAATAGCTCTGCAAGGCTTTGGTGGAAGCTCCTCTCAGGCCTTCATGTTTCACAGCAGAAAAGTCAAGTTGCCTTTTGACCTCTTTTCCCAGGGAAGAGATCAAAGCCACTCAGCTGCCCCAGGTTAGACAGTAGGTCTGTGCTGCATTCTTGACCTCAGCTCCTACACCAAGTCCTCTGGGATTGAGTAACCCTCAACTCACCACCAGTCAGCTGAACTGGTTTCCTTGTCAAAAATGCATTACCCTGTCCAGCTCAGCCAACTGGAGAAACAGTGATTGTCTTCTGAGACCAACAGGAACAGCACAGGCTGTCCACAACACAGCTCACGTTGGGCATCTCATGAGAGGACCACTGGAAAGCCACGTGCCTGTGGCCTCCCACAGAATGGGTCTGTTTGGCTGACACTGGTGAGTAACCATTMCAGAGGTGCTTGTGCTCWGGAGGGTGCAAACCTRMTACCAACATSTTCCAGCACTCTYCAGGAAATCTGGGACAGASAAAGCTCAAAGGTCGCTTCCTGCTTAAAACACAAGAAGCAACAACAACCCCCACASGTCCTGCCCATTTCCAGCCAGGGCTGCAGGGCAGCAGCTCCGATGCTCTGGTTCCTTTTGTTGCTCTTTCCCATCTCTGTCATCACCCAAAGGTGTTTTGCACGAGGAAAGCTGAGCTGYCTCACCTCYGGGTGCKGATGCTGTAACAAACTGCCCGGTTACCGCGGTTGTGAACCAGCAGAACCTTCTSRGTGCTGTGCTTGACTGGACAGACTGAGAAGTCCACCTGGTCAGGGAAGTCCAGGAAGGCTCGGGCACCAATGGCCCGAATTGGCACAATGATCTCTTCCCTTTCAGTGAYGCAGAGGAGCTGGTGGAAATAATCCTGMAGGAAAAGAAACKGTCTCAGCACAGGACATTTATCCCCATCTTCAGCATGGGCAAAAAGTATCTCCCAGTTCTAGATCCAATGCAACTCCACTGAAACCAGCAAAGCATCTTAAAACCCAGGCCAGATGCCCTGAATCCAGCCTTGCAGGTTCACTTCCCACACAAGACACCAATCTCTTGGGACCTGAAGACTCACCTTGTTCTGCCCAGGGGTGAAGAGGACRCGTACGGTAACAGACAGGCCTGGTGGCACCTTACGGTACGCACCACTGGGGCCCACCAGCTGGAAATAAGGTGAGCTCTCCATGGTGATCCTCACCAGCTGAGGAACCTGCAGGAAAGACACGGAATGATGGTTTTCCCACTTATGGAAATGGGTGGACATGATCTGGTGCCATCCTTCTTTAACCACCTTTCTCTGCTCTCCTCTTCAGCACAGYGTTRAACCTCCCTGTCCCAGCACTTACCAGGTCCCTGTTCCTCAGAACCAGTGGCACTTCATAGACCTCGCCAGGGATGTAGCTCTGAAACACCAGCTCTGGTGGGRAAGGCTGAAGTGAGCTCTGAACTGCTGAGAACTGGAGAGGCAAGAGAGAGCAGAGAGAGGTTCAGCTGCTGGGAGGAAGATTCACAAATGAGAATCCTGCACTGATCCCCAGTGAAGTACGGACTCCGGGTGAGAACATCTGCCCAGCCCACACTRCAGGGACAGTGRCTCTCCCACCTCTGCCCTGGGYTGATCAAAARCTKCTGGACYRCACCGAGCAGGCTCAAGCCAAGCTGCTCTTTGCTCAAATATCACATCAAATAGCAAGRGCAGGGAAAGGCTACCTTGTCATGGGAGGTCTCACTCTTTTCTTGAGGTTGGACAATCTTGGGTAGAGTCAGTTTCTTAGTTCTGGCCATCCTCTGCTCGGTGGTGAGAGACATCTCCTTCTGGAAGGCAGAGGGAGTCAGCTGAAAGGCAAAAAAACCCAGCAAAAGCCTCAGAAATGCACTTGTTCATAGAGGCTTTTCTTGTTCACTTGCTACTGACGAATAATTTGTGATCACAGCCACTAGAACAGTTCTGGAAGCCCTGGAAGTTACCTGCTGAAATATTTAACATCASTAAATTAATGATATAGAGCAGAATGCACATGCTCTAACCACGTGGCCCTGTCCCATTAGCTTCTCCATGATTCGATGTGACATGTTTGGGGATTTCTGCTCTTTGGGCATTTGTTTCCAATTTAGTTTTACTAGATTGAGCTGGTGACCTTTGCAGAGAGTGGGGAGGAGTTATCAGAACTCCCCTAATTCCACCCTTGCACAGCACTCACATCCCACTGTTGGGTGAGTCCAGGAGGGAGGCAGGAAAGCAGCGCTGTGCCAAGACTGAAGCACACAGGAATGGGTCCAAGTTTCAGTGCTCTCTTTTTAATTAGCTCTTGTTTTCTCTGTCTGGTCTCACAGACCCCTCCACAGAGCACAGAGAGATGTCCTTGACAGAGCCCCAGCACCAGGGCATCTCCAGTCAAGTGAGCTGCAGTCAGCAAAGGGACGTTTGTGGATGGGAAGGAGCCCTCAAAAGTGACTCCACTGCTGGATCTGTGCTCCACAAGGAGGGTGAGATGGACCAGCTGCTTTGGAACCCGGCACCAGCCATGTCTCCTGAGGCTTGGGGCAGAGTTTGGGCTGCCCTCCACATCCCAGCTGGCCAAGGGCAGGTTGGTCAGAGCAGCACAGSTGAGTGTCCAGCCTGACAGAAGGAATTAYTGCCACACAAAGGGGTCAGAAAGAAGCACACACTCAMGGCTTCAGCTTTACATCAGTTTAACTTGGCTCCAGTGGCACAGCCAGGCAACACAATGGACTGTCCCTGAAGCAACACAGGGAGTTCCCTACTGGACCAGGACAGCCCCCAACAACAGGATATGGAACAAAGTGGTGGGGAGGGGGTCTGCAGCTCCACAGTGCTGCTGGAAAACAGGAAGGGCAGGGAGAGGAGGGACACAAGGAGAGTTTGAGCCTTAACACACCTCATGCMCAGCCACAGAGGTACTTACAGTTACAGGCTTCTCTGCCTCTCTGAGCAGCTTTGGAGTACGAGGTTCCACCATTCTGCTCTGGAATCCAGAAGCCTTTCTGGAGTGTGTCTTGAATGGATGAGTCGTGCCAGAGGCCATGTCTTGACTCACCTGGAAGGAGCAACAGTGGAGCTCTGAAAATCCAGAATCCCATTCATGGCAGAAGATACATTGGTGTCTCCAGGCTGTGGAATCCCTCAGAAGGGAAAAGCATCAGGCCACCCCATCCTGATTCATCATTAGACTATATTTAAGTGGCACAGTTAAGATTCAGAGAAGCAAAACCTCAGAACAAACAGMCCCTGAGACAAAACAGCCTTTTGCTGTGGGTGCAGTCCCACAAGCCACAAAGCCTTGTCAGAGCACAGTGACACTCTCATCTCCCACCTTTTCCATTACTTTTGGAACCCCATTTTCTGAAATCATTAACCAAATCTCCATTAATAACCAAACTGTTGTTTGTTATGCTTTACAAGTTGGTTTTTTTTTGTTGGGAACAAAAGGAAATTGATTGTCACTTGGCTGCTCACCTGGCTAAACAACCTCAGCTCCTTCCGATGCTCCTCACAAGACTTGTGAGGAGGCTGAAGAYAGTCAATTCCCTAATTACCTTAGGATAGGTAATTTCCACTTTGAAGATTCACGTAACAAAGTCTAACTGCCTGAAGTTGCACTTCAAGTCACCACAGGCTGCTTGCAGGCTGGAGACAACCTGCAAGGTCAGAATCCAGCCCAGGAATGCAGGTGTGACTGTGCTAGCATTGATGCAACAATCAGCCATTGTTGCCATGCTGACAGTTCTATAGAGACTGATGGAACTGAGGGACAATGGACAGAACCCACAAAGGGGCAGAACTGAGTCTATGTGAAGATGGAGCCTGGACAGTGAGTGGGCAGAGCCAGAGAGGAGCGAGCTCAGAGCGTGACACTGGCCAAAGCACACTCGTGTCTTGCTCCTGAGCTCCTGCTCTGCTATGGGATGTGTGAGGGAGTCAGTGCTGGTGCTAGAATACTATAGCCTTCCCAGTGTGCACCTGCTAATTTATTATACTAAAAAGAAATAGCCAGTGGTGTCCCTCTGAGGGGATGGGAGAAGACGACCCTTCACTACACAGGCCAGTTGCAGAGAAGTCTGGGTTGGGTTTCTCTACAGAGAACAAATCCTCTCAGCACCCCTCAGCAGATCCTGGTGCTTGTCCACAGTTTATTTAATGCTAGTTTTACATGAAATGTGGTCACTCTGGAGAAGTGAGGACTGCCAGGGGATTGAGGAGGGGCTCGGACATCAGTTTTTGCACACAGTCTTGGTCACACATGCCACCTCAAGCTGCTGCCACTGGAACCCTTCAGCCCCTGCTGAGTCCCAAARGGTGACCGAGACTACTGGTCATGAGCTTCCCAGGGGCTTGGTTCAACTCTTTCCCAGAAATGGCTTTTCCTTGAAATACTTTAGCTGGAAATCRGAGACAGATCTGTATGGAGCCTGCCTGCAACTTCCTGCCCTACCAGCCCATGAATATAGATCAGAGGAGTTCTCTTGTAAAATGAGCTGCTTACTACAAAATCAAGGTGGGAGAGCAGCCAGATGAGAGTGAATGAGGCAGGGGTGATGGAAAGGGGGAAAAAAAAAAAAACCACCCACATTCAGAGTGAAATAAACAGCCAGCAGAGAAAGCTATTTTTTGAACTTTTCAGTCAGCCCATTGTCTTGCAGTGAAAGTCCCCTCAGAGCTGGGATGTTTATCGGTGTCCACAGGCTGCGTCTCAGCCAGCAGGAAATGACACAACAGCACTGAAATCATCTACACRTGTCCACTCCAGCTGCGGGTCCAGCTCCTTGGGATCTGCAGGAGCCTGGTACCTCACAGGTTGGGCTTGTTCCAGAGGTCCCTCTCCTGCCCTGCCAATCTCTGGAATTGTCCAGGATCCAGAGGGAGGTCAGCGTTTGGGAGCCCTGTTCAGCCACGCTGGCTCCTAGTGACCAGCATCCTGCTCAGGGGTCTCCTCATGCCTGAGGAGAAAACACTTCAGCAGGACACAGGGCTCTGCTTATTACCTCCGGGACGGAAGCAGCAGATTTTAGCCGGGATGCGGCAGCCCAGGGAGCAATGCCTGCCGCACGAGGGCATTGTCYGCTGCAGCCAGAGGCTCTGGCAGCTCGGGAATCTCCGCGGGGCAGAGCGCGGTGTGAGCTCCTCGGGCCAGCGGGACCCTTTCAAGAACAACAAAGGAGAAAGGATGTGTGTCCCGTGCTCATAGCTGTCACCTCAGGGCTGGGGGCCGGTGCTTGGCCCTGCCAGAGGGCCGGGCGTGGGTGGGTTTGTTCCTTATCAGCCATCCGGTGAGCGCCCAGGGGAAGCGGCGCATCCTTTGGCGCTGGGGGTCTTTCCTCTCGGCGGATGCCGGCCAGGGGTGACCGGGGGGCTCACGGGGGGCACCGCTGCCCTGCATCACTCCCAGAGAGAGCCTTTGCTCTAGCACTTACCCCATCCCTTCTGTCACAGCCCATACAGGTCCTGAGTCCTGCTCCCTGCAGTTGGCTTGGTCCCTAAATTTCACCCCACTGGCGTGGAGCGGGTGAGCCTGCTGTTCTCTGGAGGCATGGGATGGGGTTGGATAGGGAGGATGCCCACAGCGACAGCTCTGAGCTGTGGTCCAGGCCAGTGAGAAGGGACATGGACACATCTGCACTTGGTGCAGATAGTTCATTTGGTTTTGGCACACACGAATGAACTGGACTGGTTTTGCTCACAGCCCTAGTTCGACATCAGCGTTATCCTGGGGGGGGAATTGTTTCCCAAAGACCAACTTGAATCCCAGACATACCTCATCTCTGCTTCCTTGCATTCCTCCTGCTGCCTCCTTGGGTTGATATGAGGAATAGTAGCCTGGGGCAGGCATCTCTCTCACCCTTAGCCACAGCACCCTCTTTTTCAACTATCCCCAGCCAACACCAAARTGCTAATGGCTGGCACCTGCTACTCTTTTATGAGACAAGAGAGCTGCATTGACCCTAAAAATACACCCACAGCCACGACAGCAGGTCAGGAGCCCAAGAATCTCAATGCATCAGGCAGTGAGACAGGCATGCYGCTGTCATGGTTCCAGAAAGAAAGCTTGGCTAAGGCAAAAGCGTGCTGCCCTGGAAACAGGCTGACTCTGTTCGTCTAAATGCACTGCTGAGGCAGCAGCTCCCCAGTGGGGTGGCAGCTGAAACCCACAGGAGTGTGAAGGCCCTGGGCAGAGGCAGAGGGAAAGGATACACCCTGTCCTTACAACATGAGGTACAAAAATATCTGGGGTAGGAGAGGGAAGGGGTCCAGTGACTCCCTGGTCTCTCAGCTGAGCCAGCAAGGCTTGAAAAGGGTTAAGCACCTGAGAGGGAATTGCTTGCCTGGGCTTGTTGTCCTGCCCAGCCCATGTGTGTGTATTTATTGTGCTGAGCCACAGAAAGGTCTGTTGGGTGTTGGGCTCCTGGGGCTGTTTGCTACTCCCTGTGGGTATCCCTGGGTATTCATTCAGTGCATGTCCGTGGCCGTGGCCGAGGCTCGGCAGGGAGAGCCACCAGAATGAGTGGGGTGACAGGTCCAGTCTGGAAGGCTGTGATGTCCCATTCTATAGGAAACTTGCTGGGATAAAAGGGCTCCACTCAGCCTGGAGGGTGCCAGTGCCCCAGCACAGCCACATTGATCAGGCCACAGCACTGCATGTGGCACCCCCTTGTTTTTTGGGGCTGGCCCACCAAAGCCTCATGGATACACAGATGGGGATCTGCCCCATGGCACCACTGGGGAGAGGTTTGGGGATCTCTCCTTCACCCACAACCATGGTTCAATAACCTCATGTCAGTCAGTTCCTTTTTGGGAAGGCTCACAGACTTGTCATGCCAGAGGAGATGGGAAGAGSTGAGCCTTCCTGAGAGCAGAGCTGTTTCTGGTAAGCTCCTTTCTTCGAGACTGTCAGTGTGCGGACACAGTGGATGGAGAAGTGGAAGAGGGGATGTGGAGAGGTGTTGATTGTGCTGGCCCACGCATGCCATGGGATGGGGACCAGGGGCTGGCTCTGTGGCAGAAGGGAACTCACTGCACCCCAGGCAAAGGGCTGGGGCCA